CAGCAATTCAGAAGACACGGAGACCAAAGCCATTTGATTCTACAGTTGGACTATATATTATTGAACAAAAGTACAGTCACCACACAAATTCTTGCCTCAAGACTCTGGTAAAAAGGGGTCTTCTTGGAAAATCCTTCCTGATCATTATGTTTCTAATTAGTGTATTAATAAGAGATGAGAGATGTATGCCACAAGTCAGAAAGATTCAGAATCTATAGCTAGATCTTCTGGAGAATTCTACATCAAGAGAAATGTAATTATTTCATAAGTCTTCACCAAAAACATTACTAAAGGACAATTTTAATATCTACCTAACCTAAATTAAGAAATAAAATAAATAAAATTACTTCTAACTTTAGTTTCTATAATTCTCTGGATAATTTTGAGCTTTCTATTTTGCACACTATTCTGAATATCTGTGAGAAAATCACTAATCTATAAAATCAAACTCAAAGTGGTGACGAATGTCTCAATTTTTAGAAAACTGTTTGATAGTTTCAGCTCTTCTAATAGTTCAAGTTTTACAAATGAGTATATTGATGCTGAGATTTCAGAAAAATACATTTGAAGAAATGACTACATAGAACATTTATCTGTGTTTGCATTTGGTATCCTGTGTAAGACTCATGGTGACCAATGACATATTCTCCAGAAGACAGAAACATTCCTGGTGGGACTGTGCCTTGCAAAACCACAACTTGGACTTGAGTTTCTATAGCTTTTATTCTCTTTCTTTTTTCTTTTAACTTTCTTTTCTTTTACCTTATAAATACCATTCATTTGGACTTGCATAAAAGACCTTGATTTTTAGTGCCTTTAGAATAGGATTTTGTGTCCAAGTGTTTTAATTTTATTTTGGTCCATTTATTTTCAACTGTCATTTTAATTATTTCTACTAAAACCCATTAAAATAATGCACTTGTCCCAGAAGAAAAGAATGAACATTGTATTTTATTGGGAAAAGAAATACCCAGTACCCCTCTGAGAAGCCAGACTGATTAAAGATTCATTTTACTAGAGTAGGAAATTACCTTAACACCAACTGGAATCAGACAAGACAGGAAAATAGCAGGATCAAAGAAAATTATAAACATTGGAAGTGTAGGGAGAAAAATGTAAAATTGATCCAAATAGGCCTTCAACTCTTTCTTGAAAAAAAAAAATGAAAAGATTTGGTTAGAGTGAGAAAATGTAAGTAATATTCCCAGAGATTGGTATGGTGATTTTGCCTGAATACATTTTGAGAAAAATCCTTTTGAAACTAGTAAGAGATTTGAGACCAACTAAATCTTGGTTCATTTATGTTGACTTTGTTTCTCCATAAATTTTAATTGTCCATACATATCACCCCATGTTATTCTAACCCCTCTTTGCATACATTTTTCCACATCTAAATTATTTGAAGTTGGGGGAAAAATTAGGGTAGGAATGAAATGTCTAGTACTAAAAAAATGGTCCTATTTTGCATTATTAAAATGCATCATGGCTCTTTGTTTCATGTCATAACAAGTAGCTGGTTAGCCTCGTTGATTAGACCTGTGGTTCCCAGGTCTAGCATTGCTTGGGACCTTTAGGGACTCTATTGCAAATGAAGATTCTCTAATCACATCCCAGACCTACTGAATCAGTCACTGAAGTGAGGCTCAACACTTTGATGAAATAAATACTACATGTGAATGGGATGCATGCTCATGTTTGAGAACTCAGTTAATAGGATTAATACATGTGTGGTCCAGTTGTTATAGATTTATAGACATCATTGTCTATACTTGTTACAGACTAAATTATGTCCCTCCAAAATTCATACCTTAAAGTCAAAATCTTCAATTCCTCAGAATTTGTCTACTGACAAATTTGTCTTACTGAGTCTTCACAGAAGTAGGTAAGGTTAAATAAGTTCACTAGAATGAGCCCTAGTCCTGAGCCCTGCTGCCTCACGAAAGCTGATTGAAGCGTAGACACACATGGAGGAAAGAGCATATGAAAACAAAGAAAGAAAATGGCCATCTACAAGACAAGGAGACAGGCCTCAGAAGAAATCACCCCTAGCCCCAGATGTCTGGCCTCCATAATTGTAAAAAAAAAAATGTTTTTTAAACCACAGAGTCTGTGGCACTTAGTTATGGCAGCCCTGGAAAACTAATAAATTTTTAACTAACCCACTTAACTATCTACAGACTGTATGCTGTTGGTCACAACAGACATCTGGTGAGAAGAGAAACTAGTATTACAGAAAATTACCTTCTTCACTAGAAAAACTTGTGATAGGTCTTTAGTGTCATTGTAAAATTACTAAAACAAGGGTCATTTTATTATTTTATGGTCTAAACTAGTGTTTCCCAATCTAAGTTAATAATAGAGGCCATGAAAGTCAATATATCAAAAAACCTGATGGAAATCCACCCCAGAAAAGACTTCAAGAATATTACTAAAACAGGGGAGGCATTTATTGGCTACACATTTGGTGGGGGGGGGGGGCTTAGACCCCTAGCTTACCTGACACAAAACATAAATTCCATTAAAATTAGAAAATTTAAGGATAAAAAATAAAAGGGAGAGTATGTTTATAATCTTTGAGGACAGAAATATTTCCAAACAAGAAATAAATCAATAATCCATAAAAGATCACTAAGTCTATTATGGTGAAAGACACCCTCAATGAAAAATAAAATGGCAACCTAGGAGAAAAGTATTTGTAACATATGTGAAAAGGGTTAATATTCTTAACATACAGAGTCAAATCAATAAGAAAAATATTAATAGATTAGTATGGACAAAGGTCAGGAACAGGAAATTCATAGAAAAGCAATGATTAACAAATGTAAGAATATGTTTAACTTCATTATTGCAAAGGGAAACAAAAGTAACATAAAATATGATTTGAATATTATTTATTTTGCTGATTAGATTTGTGAATGTAAAAGGCTGCCTTAATACATAGTAGTAATCTCAGAAATTAAGCATTTTTTAAAAAAAGAGTATGGTCATTCACATTGCCCATTTTAGCAGTGTGTATTAATACTGCAAATGAGTCTGTCTTAATACAGTAAAAGTTCTCAAGCCACAATAATAGGATACAAAGAAATACCCACTGAAATAGCATTAGGTGAAAGGGAAATAAATGGAAATAAAAGCAAGTCTCCATCAATAAGAAAAATCATTTTTTAACTTGTGGCACATTCATATTACATAATACTATCTAGATATTTAAAAGAATTTTTTGTATGTACATGGACTATCAAAACAAAAACATTGCCTAAAAAAAAGTATGTATATTATAATCTCACTTTTTAAAAAGTTAAATTATGTTAAGTGTCTACTGGTGTAGAACTACTTTATTTAAAATGGAAAAGTTAACACTTCAACAGTAGGATGAATTTCAATTTGGGGTTTCATAAATCAAACACTGAGAATAATTCAAGTGAAATTAAACATGAAACACTAAGGTTGTTTTCAAAGTGCAAATTTGAATGTGAAAAGGGTTAATATTCTTAACATACAGAGTCAAATTGCCTCAAATCCAAGATATAATTTCTTTAGATTTCAAGAATTTTGCCTCTGCTCTATTATAAATAGATCACTAACCAAAAGTGAAATTTTCATTATATTTAAAAACCTATCTAGATTGTTAACTGAAGATATATGCCTGCAAATTTGAGATTTTTAATAATAACATACTGACTTCCAAATTACTTTCTCATAATTACAAATCACATTTTTATCTTATCATGTTCAGTTAATACTTGCTCAGGGCAGAAATATAGCTCTGCCAGAAATTTTCTGCAATAAATCCCTGTAAGTATCTTAGAACAAAACATTTGTTATAAATGAATTTACATCTCAAGATTGCTAAGATTTAATTTTAGCCAAGTTTCTTATTTACTTTATGTACTGCTAGGTTTGAGTTCAAAATGAAGGGATTCTTCCCTTTGGAGAAAAAAAGGAGAAATGTAGTTTGATCTTGTTTCAGTGCTATTACACTACTTTGAATATTCTGAAAGTTTTACAGAGTTCAGTCTCCTGAGTTATGTCAAGACAAACATATTCTATCATGGAGAAATTAAAAGTGCAAAGGCAAAATTACATTTACTTCATTCTCACTTATTAGAAAAGCAATCATTTCAGACATAGCTGCAAATGGGCAGTGTTTGTCTTGTTGTCTGCATTATTTTAAAAAGTGAGTTTTTCCCTTACTATTCTATGTATCTGAAATAAAAAAATTATTCATTGTAAGTAGCACGTATTCAACCCTATCTTTATAGATTACAACAGCATACTTCTCAGTATTTATAAATAGTGAACACTAAATGTTTTATTACATTATGTTCCTAAATAAAAAAGTAATTTAAAAAATGTGGTTCATGTTTAAATATCAGTAGGAAGGCAAGAACTAAAACATTTTTTTATTGAATGTTGAAATAATTACTGCTGTCTATCAACTATTTTCAGTCTTCCTCCTGGTGTATCAACCCAGCTGAAGTCTTGTTTTGGCCAGAAATGTGTGAGTAAATGTGTATTTCTTTTGGGTAGACGCTCTAACAGACTATGTATGATTCATCGTGTTCTGTTGTTTCCCCTCTAGCATAAACAGCAACATATCATGGTGGATATTCAGTCTCTTGAGTTCTTTGAAGTGATTATAGTGACAGGAATCCCCCTTTAGAGTGGACAGGAAGCACAGTTGACCTACAAACATTTCTGAGTTTGCGTCACTAAGATTTGGGGGTTGCTTGCTATCCTAGACCTATGTAGGCTTATCCTAATTTGTATACCTAGGCCACCAGATTTTAGAAACAATCCCATCTAAATTATGAAACTATGGTAAGACTCAGGTTAAAGAAACTTAGATGTTGCAGAGGAGTGGACAGAGAAGGAATAACAGACAGTAACACTGGAAACCAAGTCAAAACTCTTCCCATCTAATAGCAGGTAAAAATGGGCATTCAGGCTCAAAAGTTGAAAGTTTTATACGACCATCTTCAAAATAACCACTCTGGATATAGGTTCTCCACATTTATTATAAAGTCATTTAAGTTTCAAGCCAGTCGAAGCACTAAAATTACATGGGTTATATACCAATGCAAGCAACAACACATACACATCACGATTTAGTCTCTTGTGCAAACCAGCAAATATGAAGAGCACAAAATACACTTATTCACATAACAAAGAAAAACACATTTCATCTACTATTAAAACATGTCAGTAATGAGTGGAAGTTCAACATTATTTACTGGGTGGCAAAGTCTTCTGATACCCAGATGAGGGAGCAAGAAAATATACATGCCCAACCTTGATATTCTGACCCTAGATAGTTAATTAATTGGAGCAATGGTGGTGCACAGGAAAAGCTAAAGCAGTTTTCACAAAAGGCTCACTCTGTATTTAATAAATGTTCATATTAAGGTTGTAAATTCAAATTACGCATAAAACTAAAGTGAATTTGTCTTATTTCTAAGTCTTAAAATGAGCATATAAGACTATTATATACCACAGATTTATCTCCCCTGCCCCATATGTGTGTGTGTGTGTGTGTATGTGTGTGTGTAGACATTTAGGAATTTTCCACTTTAGTTATACAAATCATATAAAGCAACTTTCCATCTCTAGAAAAAAAAATTCAAAGGGCATGTTTTTATCACTTAATTGAAACCTTCAGTAAAACATTTGATGTTTTGGATACCAGGAGTCAGCATTCTCTTTGTATTAATAATCATAAAAACCCATATGCATTTTTTTGGCTTAAACCACAAAAATTTATTTCTTACAGTTCCAGAGGCGGACGTCCAATATTAGGATATGGATGGGTTCTCTTGAGAGCTCTCCTTGTGGTAGAGGGAAATCTCTCTCATAACTCTTTCTATAAGGGCAGTAATTTAAACAAATTCACAAAGACTCTAAAAAAGTCTGACAAGTTTAGCTTTTGCCTAGAATAATATAATTTTTCAGAAATCATAAGCTCAAACAGTATGTGAAGTTGCATGATTACTACTTTACCTAATGCAAAGGGAAATTATTTCAGTTACCCTGAAGGTCTCATTACAAACTTTAAAACAGAGCTTACAACACTCAAATTAATGAACCTGTTGAAACTATTTGTACTATTTATTTCTGGAAATCAGAACAAATATACTTTCACTTGGAACATGAATGAAAGTTATTGGTGAATGCTACCCTCTATTATTTATTATACAGCAAACTGCCAAACTATGTGCAAAATATATATCAAAAGAAACAAATTCTGAAATCAGCTCTGCCCACTCTTGTGTTTGTTTGCTTTCTTTGGAAGAAAAGCCTAAATCATGCAAACACATATTCTTTTACTTATTTTTTTCCAGTTTTGATGTCTGTATCATGTGTTTAACATCATCTCAAAATCAATTATATTGCCCTAAAACGATGCTCACATGATACAAGTAATCTTTCCAGATATGCAGAGTGACTCCATTGTCACTCCCCAAAGCACTGGTCATATCACAGATCTCAGTTCAGATGCATACGGCTAGGACCACATCGTGGCAATACAGCAACAATTTTTCCATTACATTTTAAAGACTCTGGGAGAAGAGGCCTGGAGATTCTGAATGAGTTTCTTCTCAGTGTCTTATCCCAGTTGAAATACATGCAAATATTTGCTGCAGGTTTTTTATCCAAAATGACAAGGGAAGGTAGGTAGAGATCTGGTCCCTTGTGCCTCATTTCACAGGACACCAATATTCTTAAGTAGTTATAGAAAATAAATATCTGCTTTGAAAGTTTGTCTTGGCTTAAAGTGCTCTTGAAACACATTTATGCAATGTAATAGCAATCACAAATAGCTTCCTTTTAAACACGTGTTGTATATACAAACATACACACACATACATAATGTATATATACATATACCATAATAATCAATATGTAACTGTCATTTTAAACTAAAATGTGCAAAAACTTTGCAATTCCATGTCCAATTTGCATTAAGAAATTTTTGTCTATAATTCAACTTGACAAGTATTAATCTAGCATATATTATGTGCTCTACATATGAGAATAAATTTGCAAGATTAATCATTTACTGGTCTTAAAATAAGAATATCATGTGCCAGCATGTTGTGATCTGCTTTAGATTTGCAGAAAAAATATTGCCTTCAAATCTTCAATGAGGAAACTTTCTTAATTTCTTTTAATTTACCCATGACAATTTGCCAAAATCCACAAAGTTAACAATGACTTCCAATGGAAATTAACAATAAAAACCAGAAATTTATGAACATAATCATTTAAGTCTAGCTGAATTAACAGAATTACCTAGAGTCTGAAAACAGTTTCACAGAGAAAATTAATTTTTAAATGGACCCAATTTAATGAAAGAAAGAAGTTTTTTTAGAAATACATTTCCCTATTATAAAGCAGAACTACACCCTATTCTCTGATGGACCTAAGACATTCTGAATGGGTACTAAATTATTTGGAATGAATCACAAAAACAAGGGAAAAAAAGGTCTGATTTATTACTGGAAATTTGGGGGAGATTATTACCTTTGATTTCTGGTTAGCTATTAAAATGATGCCAAAATGCCTGGCTGATTTCCAATCTTCCCCTTCAACACTATAGCACAAGCTTTAGAAGATGCTATCTTACACATTCAATGGACCTGTTGTCAAAAGAGGATTTTCTATTGTCTGTGGTGAGTATTTTTGTGTACATACATGCATGTAAGGCAGAAACACACTAGATGTAGATAATCTTTGAATATTATATGTTGACTGTGTTTCTTTTATTCTCTGAAACAGAAATAATGGCACACAGCAAAGCACCTTTTGCCCATGTTCTTTGCTCAAATCATTGGGGTATAAGTTGTTTGCATTATTCATGGTAGAGCTTTTTAGGAACTTCTATCATGCAAGTAGCCTATATCTGTGCTAAGTTAAAGCCTCTGTATCTCTAAATATGAACATGTATCAGCATACTAAATTTTTCAAAGGAAACGATTATTTAAAAATTTTAAATCTATACTTGCCAAAAAGCCTTCAAACAATTGACCTTCATAATAATAGATGAAAGTAATCATATTGTCAAATATGATATGAATGGGCCCATTTAAAAGCCACAGTTGAATCCCAGGTGCCATGGTCATGCATATATTGATTGAGGCTACATAATGACTACTAAAACAGACCAGACAAAAATACAGGGGTCTTGTAGTTCAATGAGCTTTGTCTATGAAGAATAGCTACAAACAGTGATCCTAAAATAGCCAATCCACCATGCAGGTAGTATTAAGGTGTTCCCTAGAAGATAGGCCAAGTAAAAATACATTAGGCCTCAACACATTTATTTATTTTAAAAGCATAAATCACACAGATAAGCTCAAATTTTTTTTTCTATTTGACTCCCATAAGCATCATTTCATTCTAACTCCAGTTGACAAAAACAAGTGAAAATGTGCAATCATATACTCCTTTGACAAATTTCAAAAGCTGAATCCAAAGAAAGTTATCACCAACTACCTGCTGAGGTCTGAACTTTCCAGTTAGGCTATGTATATTTATCTAATTAACTGATATATTGCCAAAAATTTTCTTAATCGCGTTCTAGTCCTACACTGACTTACTGTACCACTAAAGTCGGTGCTTGCTGATTTTTTTCTGCAACTGGTGACTCAGAAATAGCAGCAACCTTTAAGGAATTTTTAATAGAGCTAAGCTCCCAAATATGTAAGCTGATGACATGCACTCCACAGCAGCGTCTGGCAAGCTTGAAGAGATTCTTAAGGACAGCCTTCCGGAGAAGAATATATACCCAGGGATCTAAGATTTGATTCCATGTTGCCATTCGGAGAGCAAAGAGCGTTGTTTCACAGGTCTCCAGAGAATTATTTCCATTTATGCCAATGTTGGCCATTGTTACCTATAATACAAGAAAAACAGAGAAATCAATTGATTGCAGGCATTTTTTTTTCAGTCCTGTTATTTTTAACTTAACTTAGCTGTGCTATATGACCTTCATTCCACTTCCATAAAGTGATGTTACGCTGCAAAATACTGACAAAAATTAAAGATATAATCAATGATACAGACATTTGAATCCTTTGAATTCAAATTGACATCAGAACTACAACAACAGTAATTTCTAAAAGTAAGTCAGATGTGCATGACTAGAATGACTCAGGGAGAACAGATGTTGACATCAGAAACCACCCTTCTTAGACTTCTGCAGATAATATTATCAAAGCCAGCACACATTTTGCATTTCAATAAAAACTAAATTATATTTAAGTACATAAATCATAGATAAGCTAACAGATTTTTTTAAAAAATGCATGCAGAACATTTGATATTAATTTGTACATAGTATATAATATTATTCTGTAATGCTACTTTTAGAGTTTTCAGCTTGGTAACTACAATGATAATAGCATTTTCTCTTTTCTGAATCTCTTATCCCTACCATAAATAGGCTAAAACATTCTCAAAAGTAAACAATGGAATTTTCTAAAGACTTTGTAGAAATGAGCTTATCTCTATACTACTATATTGTGACTTAATCATAACAATTCTTATTTTGGTCTCCTATCTCCATTTTCTGATCACTGTGATTATAAGGAGATCATTTCGTAGAATCAGTTCCATAAATGGTCCCAGCTACTATTAGAATAAAGCAAATCACGGAGTCCAGCTTTAACAGCCAAACGGTTACAGAACAAACAAAGAGGACTTCAAAAACAACTCAGCTATAAAAAATAATAAAAAAAAATAAACAGGAGATGAAACTGAAATTAAATGGTACTGGGTCATCATGCCACAAAGATTCAAACATGATATCACAAAACCTAAAAATCCCAAATGAAAAGAAAATCAAGACCAATGTCAAAAAGAAGCATCTTTATTTGCAAGGCTGAGATCAATGCTTAAAGAATAAATATCACTTATCAAAACTTCCATGGCCTGTATGACATAGTGCAAACTCTTCAACTGGCACTGTGATGGTACATCTGTAAGTTTACCTCTACAATCTTATCTCCCCTGCAAATATCTTATGTTCCAACCACTGGCCAATATCTCACTTTCAGAGATACACCATGTTCTTTGAGCAATGGCTTATGTAACACCCTTTATTCTGAACTCCTATCCCACTTTCTCTGCCAAAATTTTTCTGACAAAGTTTCTCTGACAAACTCCTGTCTCTAAACCCCCTATAAAACCCATGCATTTTTCCCAATCTTCACCAAGATGAATGAGCAGTTGCTGCCCTCCTCTGTACTCCCACTGCACTCTGTCCAGTTATACACTTTAAAACAATGCATAATAATTATGCATTTACCTGTATATCTATGATCATCTTTTGTTTTTCTTCATATTTCTAATATCCAGTACAAGGCTGATATCTAAAATGTACCCAGTAAATATTGGTTGAATTTACTTATGTTATTTTTTATTCTTTGCATTTATTTTTTGAAGCACAATGACTCATCATCAGAGAAACCTCTGACCATCTGTCACAAGGGTCTAATATTTTGAAGCATTAAGTGTTTCTAAAAGTTTTAATGTATTACTGAAGGATTCCAGTGTGGTTTGTTGGCACTTGAAAGAAACAAGATATTGCTGTCCATGCAGATCACTTGGGCAACAGTCTTTTCCCAGGAAATAATGCATCAAAATGCAGACCTAAATATTCAGTAGCTAAATAAAATTAAAAGAGTATTTTCTGCACAACAGTACCTGGGTCAAATATAGACTCTCCTATCATTGTTGTATCATTGTTCCCTTAAATTATGCCTTAGGATTTTAAAAATATACCTACCTATATGGGACTAATTACTCTAAGAAGAAAATAACACCAAGACTTGACTGGCATTTGGACTCAAATATTTTCACTTTATATTGTTTTGTTCACTCAACAAATACTTATTGATTATCTGCTATGTGCCAGACAGTGTGCAAGGAATTGAAGATAAAAATGGTAAACAAAGCAGAAACTATAGAATTTATAATCTGTTTGCTAAAATTGGGTAGGGAGAGTATTAGGATGAATGAATAAATATTTCTCTTGACTCACAGTAGTAAATGTATGCATTTTCTATTAATGAATAGGTATGTTCCTGGGTACCTACTCTGTGTATATGGGAGCAAATATACTCAGAACAATTGTGTGGAACAGTTGACCTTGCTTTAGAGATGTGCAAATTTAAAGCATCTCGGTTATATGGCATGCACTTCTCCGATTTTTCCTTTCTTCTCTGAAAATAGTCCTATGTTCATCAACTATGAAAAGACACTGAATTTTCTGAAGGAACCCAGAGCCTAGTCTTCTTTCCAGAATACCAGCGCAGTGCCCAAGCACTCATAATCACTCTGTCCTTCCTTGACCACCAGCCCCAGTCATGAAGAAGGGTTGCCCCAAAGCCTTGGGAGAAGGAATTATTGTTTAGCTACCCACAAAGCTGTAGGTGAAATATTTCTGTAAAATAGATGTCATTAGTATTTTATTTATAATAGCATCATTGGTAATTCTGGATAAACTAAGTCTGAAAAAAATAGATAAACCATGATAATTTTACATTATGAAAATTTATGTAGGTACTTCTGTTTGTGTTTCAGTTTTAACATTTTAAAATATTTTTAATATTTTGTTTTAGTTTAGTTGGACATAATATCTTTATTTTATTTTTATGTGGTGCTAAGGCTCAAACCCAGAGCCCCACACATGCTAGGCGAGTGCTCTACTGCTAAGTCACAACCCCAGCCCCTCAGCTTTAACTTTTTTTAAAAAGCAAGTCACTCCAGTTGCATTAATTGTGTCATCTCAATTTTGAAAAAACAACTGTTGTTTTCTGCATGGGAAATAGACTGGGGTATATACATCAGTGTTTTCATTGGTTAACCCTAGGCAGTAGAAGCACAGAGGATTTTTATTTTCTCCTTTGGTTTGTGTCTAGTTTACTAATATTTTGGATAGACCATACATTGTTTTTACAAGTTGTGCTTTTTTCCCCCAAGTAATTTGTGGAAATACACTATTTTATCAGAAATTGTATCAGAAATTGTATGGATTATATATGCATATTCATGCACATGTGATGTGATACTGAAGGCGCCAAAGAATCGCCTGGAAAACGTAACTCTGATAAAACTGGCAGGAGATATGTGGGAGATGAGGTCAGGCTGAGGAATGTCTCCAAGCTGGGCCAACATAGTCATTTTCCCTGGACCTGGATGACAGTCACTTCACATGCCTGGAAAGCATTCTTTTCTGACTGGCCCACCCAATCTTGCATTCCAGACAGTTATCCAGACTCTCATCAATACTTAGCCTTTCATCTAGTTCCCAAGAGAATGAGAGGACATAGAACTAGAGAAATATATATTATTTTTAAAAATATCTTCTACAGATTTTGGAAAGTTACAATTGTTCATCTTTATCAATGATTACAATTCGAACTGAGAAAATGGACAGGACCAAGTGTTTGCATAGTCTATAAGAAAACAATTAATTAATCTGATACCTCTAACACACTCAATACTAAGACAAGAGAGAAACAATGAAGTAAAAAATGTATAGGAAGGAGAGTTTAGGTGCATTGTCAAATTTCAAGGAATAAAACATAATAAAATCAAATATCTATCTACTTGGGCCACATAATACAATTATATCATCTGTTAAGTTCAAAATTAATCAATCGAACAGATCACTTTACTCAGATAACAGAGCCCATGTAAACTAAAATTTTACTCTGGAAGCTATTTTACATCTGGGTCCGTTGACTAGATTCAGGAAAGCAATGGTAAATTCAATAATTGTGCTTCTGTTCCTTTGAGTATTCATAAAAGTATATCAATCTAGAATCAGGTAGTTTTTGAGTGTCTGCTATGTCCAGATCTTTTGCAAGATGCTAGTGATGTAGAGACTAATACTTAGATAAGTTCTACCTAACAAATTATATATTTTGCTAGTTATATAGTGTTTATTTGTTTTACCTAACACTAAAATATAATCTTGTTAAAAGCATGCCTTTTAGATTGATCAACTCTTCGCTGATTCCTAGCATCTGGCATACAGTAGGGCAGTCAATATCTACTAAATGAATTGAATGAATGAAGTCTCTGAGAAGACACCAACAAGAAACCAGCAGCTACAAAAGCCTTCAAAAACAACAACAAAATAAACAAACAAAAAACCCACTACTCTTATGAGTTCCATATACCAACTTTAACTATGCCTAAATTACATGAATTTCTACATTGCTGATTATAGAAGTGTTTTAGCTTTTTGAGTGCTGTGACTTAAAGACCCAACCAGCATACTTGTAGAGGAGGAATAGTTTTTTTGAGGGCTCACAATTTCAGAGGTCTTAATTCATAGGAGGCTGGCTCCATTCCTTGAATTTGAGGTGAAGCTGAACCTCATGGCAGGACAGTATGCAGAGGGAAGCAGCTCACATCAGGAAGCAGAGAGAGAGGAAGAGACTCCAGCTCCAGATACAAAATATTTACCCATAGCTAAGCCCCAAATTAACCACTTCCTCCAGTCACACACCACCTGCCTCTAGTTACCCACTCAGTTAATCCCATCTAGATTAATTCACTGAGTGAGCTAAGACTCTCATAATCCAATCATCTCTCCTATGGAACTTCTTGCATTGTCTCACACATGAGCTTTTGGGGGACACCTCATATCCAGACCATAACAAGAAGATAATAATATTTTAGTCCTTTCCCACTTATTGAATGTCCATCATATTAAGACAATATTTTGCAAATGGTGAATGATTCAGAAATAAATCAGAGAGAAATATTTCAAGAGGAAAAAAGGACAAAGTTATATAATATTTCTTGTGTCAAAAATCTAGAATAGCTGTGAAATATTGTCCATCCCCGAAGTACACATCAGTAATAAAAAATTCACACATT